TTTTTTTACGTTTTATTGTGTTATGGACAAAGTTCGGGATCTTTCTTTTTATCGTTTACCTGGCAAAAACTCAAGACTACTCCTCAAGTCCACATTCCAAGACTGTAAGTACCGCTGAATGTCTTTAGTTATGTTATTGTTATGTAATACTTAGGGATAGGGAATAACATATACTAGCCTGCGTAGCAAGCGTTTCCAATCAAGTTATTGGCGAAAGTTAGAGAGGAAACAAAAAAAAGGTTGAAGGGGGAGGGGGAGGGGAGAAGAGGAAACGCTTGCCCGCAAACCCAATGATTCTGGCAAACGCCCCTTGATATTTCACGGTTCGGTTCATTTGTAAATTGACAGCTCGTCAAAATAGAAGTATAACGAACAGATTACCCCTGGATTATCAGATTGGTAAAATTACTTTGTTCTCTAACAGAACAAGTTGCAGGCGATTGCAAGAACTGTAATAAAAAAAAATTTTCGATAAAAGAAAGTCAAAACTGTGAGCGATTGCTGTGGAATTTCTTGTTTTTCATTGTGTGGCTTTATCTCGTCTGAAACCTTGTCGACACGTCAAAAATGATTTGTCCGGAACAATTCGAGTCTATCTTTTTGTAAATATCAGTAAAATAAATAAATATCAGTCCAAAGCATTTGTAATCTGCGACCACAAACCAGATGAGACCAGATCTGTGACGCACGAAAACAAAGCATACCTGGTTTGATTGATGTTTCGAATGCTAAGTAATCAATACTACCCGCACCGCGCCAATCAGAAGCTGCGTTCGTGGGCGAACGCAGTTTTTCAAAATCGTGGGGTTTGCGGGCAAGCGGTTCCTTCTTTCCCCTCCCCCTCCCCCGTCATTCATTTTTTTCTTTGCTCTTGTCCCAGCTTTCTATACGAACCTCGCGAGGAAACGCTTGCTACGCAGGCTAAACATATACTAAACAAATACACTCATCTTTTCCCTATATCTCAAAAAAAAAAAAACGACAACTAGATAAAAGGGTGAAACAGGTTAAACACGCTTTTCTTTTATGTTATGTAAATTTGACGTAAAACAAATCTTGCCTACTGACTTACACATTTTTCTTGGCAATGTGTTAAATGAAACTTTGCTGGCTGGCTCATAACTTACTTCTGCTACCGCTGGCTGGCAAACACCGAATTTCGTTTCACTCTGGCTGGGATTGCGTAATTTTTGTTTTTTTAACCTTGCTGGCTGGCAAAAAACCGTCAAACATGATTGCTGGCTAGGATTTTTATTTTCTGAAAGTCTTGCTGGCTAGCAGTGTAGAGCGGGTATTTTTTTCCCAGGAAAGTTAAATATTAACATAGGTTGACGTAAAAGCACTTTGCTAGCGTTTACGACATCGTATAATCAATTTTGCGAAAAATGTTCGTTGGGTACTCCTGAAAAGTGCATATGTATGACAAAGGATTTTGTAGGCTAACTGAAAATATTAGTATCTCACTTCAGTGTTATCAAAAGCATAAAAACATTTCAGTTTCATTGAATTCTGCGGTTAGTTTGAGCGGAATTTTACTGAATTACAGGAGAGTTTGTACCATCCTCACCTAGCCTTATTTCATATGATTCTGGAAAGGGAATCTGGAAAACACAATGCGCCGCTGTTACAACATACAGAGGCGTTACCAGAGTCCCACCACACTTGAAGAACAATTGCCTGCTGTTTTGATCCTTCACAAGAATCTCCACTTGCCAGGGCCATGAATGTGGAATAGCTACGTCTCCTCCGACAATTCGAGCCATTGGTTTTATACCACAGGGGAGGTCACTCAGAGGGGGGTCAGCTGCGAGAAATGAAAAAGGAAATAAAATAGATTCAGATGCTTTAGAAGTGTTCCAGTTGTCTATAACAGACCCTCTCTTTTTGATTAATAACAGTCAGAGAAAATCCGAGGACAGTAATCAAACAATCGCCTTAAAATACGTAAACTTGCCAAGTTTCAAAGTGACACGTTTTAAGCGAGCGAAGATATTGTGTGTTTTCACATGACGTCATGGGTCCATATTTGTGTCCCAAACCAGCCCTCTGGGAGTTGAATCTTTACTTATGTAAACGCTTTCTTTTGTTCTAATAAATTTGCATAGATGCTGGCCACGTGAGTGAAAACACAGAGAATAGCTTCACAAGGGTGAAAAATTCTCAAAAATTTGTATGGTGAAAGTTTCTACCCATCATCATGCAATCATTTTTTTTTTTTAAAGAAATTTTTGTCAAAATTTGGAATAAAACCGTGGAAAGGTTTTATCATTTCAACTGTTAAAATGAAAAAAAAAAAATAAAAATAATAATAATAATAATACTAATGAAATATAATAATAACTAGACCAAAACAAAAACCTTGGCTCAATTTCCACGGCTAATTCTTCAATACAAAAAGACGCTTACCATATTTGGAAGATGCGAAAAAAAAAACTATCGATTCGATGGTATTTGCTTATGACGTTGATCGATGATATATTTGCCTGGAAACAAGGTTGATTGTCATAATAGTGAACTTAAAAGAAAAAGCAACTCATTTATATCCTGAAACCGTGCCGATAAATAGGCCAAAGGTTTAAAGAGAGTCTACGAGGAAGTAGACTTGTTTGGAAGGAATTTAAATCAATGATTCACATCAGACTTACAAATTATCTAATAAAGTTGTTTACAAATTAAAGGACAGTTTCGTTCACGAATTGAATGAACACAAAATTAATGTAACTACAGGGTACGTCAAACAATAAGCCCTCTCCCCAAGGCCCGTTTCTCGAAAAGCCCTGAAAATTTTCAGGTGCGAAGGCAAATTTTGAAATCAAAACCAGTTGAATAGCAGCTCAGTTCCTAGCTCACAAACGGGTCATTGTTGCTTCGTTTACCGATACTTTCATTGTATCATTTTCAAAATTATTGATACTTTGATCTTGAATGTAAACACGGCAAACATAAAACAACTTCTCGAGACAAAAAGTTATCGGGACTTTCGAAAAACAGGCCCCCGCCGTTCTCTTCCATTCCTATTTAATTCTTGAAAAGTCTTACTAAGTACTAGTCTTGAACAGATTTAAGAGCGCCGTTCAAGGCTAAAACAAGGCGTTTGAATTCGACCGTTAAAAATTTGTCCAGGAGACAAGTGTAATTTGTACGGAATTAAAGAAGATGATTTATTATTACGGAAAATGTCATACGCATGCCAATATGAGACTGCTGAAACCTTCAATTTTTATTTTGTTCAAAAGGCACCTCAAGTGACTCTTTGCCAACACAGTTCTTGTCAAAAAAATGCGAGCTATTTATTATAAAAGCAGGAGAGAGCTTGCTGGTTTGTATAGTATAAACTGCAGTCAAAGCTACTCATATGAATGACTGGGATGTTAGAGATATAGCAAACACACAAATATTTCATAAAGATGTACAACAATTAATTACCGCAGATTTAAAGAGTATTGCCTCATATACGAATTCAAATTTGAATGAACGGAATCGTTTGTTTCACATTTTTAAGTTAAATTGTATAGCATTTCAGTTGTGAAGGTGGTATAATAATCTTATACTTTGAATTTTAACAACCATTGAATTATCTATAGCTACAACCTTTATTTTTTACTGAAAGAACTACCGAATTTAGGTTATCATTTCGATTCAACATAAGGAAATAATATTGGGTAAAACTAGAAAATAATGATAAACAAGAAAAATATGTTCAAATGTTAATTCATTACGAAAGAGATGATGCCCTTTTTCGGGATAACTGCTCTTCTCGACTTTTAGGGTTTGTGGCTGTCCATGGTGATCAGTGGTAATTTTTTTAGTGCTTGAGGCATACAGCTTCTTTTTAAACAGGCAAAAATATTGATATCAAAAAACAATACGTAAATAAATGCGGTAATTTGTTAATCTGACCTTGAATGCAGTCAAACAAAATGAAAGCTGTTGGAGTCAGCAGAAGGAACCTCAATAACGCCATTTCGGTGGGTTAGTTGCGTCTTGTTGTTTCTCGCCCACTGCGCTGCTACCGTTAAAGCCGTTGTAAACGATGCTGTTGCATTTAAGTGTATTTCCTAATTACGTGACATGTTTGCCGACGCTTACGCTAATATCTAACATTTGAATTAATTGAAACTGCGGTGGCGGTTGGTCAACGAACATTCGTCGCGTTAAAAGGGTCGAAAAATAAAAGCCATAAGAATTAAACTTCATTCTGATCGTTTTAATATTGCAATACAAGACCTTCCATAAATGGGCCTTATTCTCCGAAGCCATAGAAGAACTGGCTACTGCGATGAAACAACGATATTTTAGTGGAGCGGGCAAAGAGTCAGTTTGACCAAATATTTGTTCAAATGTTATTGTTTCTGTATGAAATAAGTTGACTTTGACGGTAAGATTAAGTGATGCGGTCATTTTTGTCACAAAAGTGAGAGGAGTCCAAATTAAAATGTCGCTTTTAGTATCTCACGACATAATGAACCTCGATCCTTTAATTGTTTTCTTTGCAACGGATAGGCAAGGGCATTTGACAGCATCCTGCTAGTAGAGGTTTCTGTATGTAAATAAGTCATATCATAAGCGAGTGCCATCCGCATATACACTGCTCGAACAGTTTTTTTGCAGTTTATCCGACTCTGCATGTCTTCTTAAACTCTGACTTAATGAAGTCCGACTAACACATTCACCCCTAGTTCCCCACTTTACAACAGCCTGAATAGCAACGAAGTTGTGTTTTTTATTATTTGTTATTATTTCTTTTGTTTTTAGATTTTATATATGCAAGTAGTAAAACTATTGCCGATACAACACTACATGGCCAGTCTTGGTCCTATTAGAGAAGACGTTGGTGAGTATACTGAGGCCTGGATGAACTAGGGAGCCTTAATCTCAGCTCACATTCATACGGGCAGAAATGACAGTTGTCTTTACCGAGGGTGCAACTTCTTTGACTGTTCTAATCAAGCTAATTGGAAATTCTGACTTTTAAAGAAATATATTGCTATAAAACATCTACAGCTAGTGTAAGTTCTTTTCAAGTCTCTGAATACAAAATTAAATTGAGATCATTATTTTCGTTATTGTAATTTTTTGTGTTATTGGCATTCACTGATTCAAAAACAAACAAAAAAAAAACGAAACTTGTTACATCCGGGAACCACGATAACAACAACAGAATAGAGGACTAGCAGGGATATAATGGTATAGGGCTTGACCTTCCCTTTATTCCTCGCCTTTCAGTTCCCTATTCTAACTCCCTTCGATCTTCCATTCCTCCTGCTCTGTCTCGCTGGGAGTAGCAGACTTTAAAATCATTTAAATTGGTCATGGAAATCGATTTTAAAACTGCGCTATATAGCAAGACCATTTCATGCGCAATCTGTCCTTTTCAGGTATGGCAAAGAATACCTTCCCGAAATGCGTTGTTGTTGTTGTTGTTGTTTGTTTGTCTGTTTTTGTCTCGTTTTCTTTTTCTTTCTTTCTTTTTTTTTTTTTTTTTACCACCCAGCTTTGCAGCAATTTTATTGTATCAATCACTTTCCTCTCAGCGCTAGAAAGCGACGACAACCACAAAAACAACCGTATCCGTTTGTTTACATAACCTCCCAGAGTAAAAGTCTGATTATTTTGCTGGGCTGGCCCGGCTTGCCGAGTTTTCTTCCCGATACTACATGCATGAAGAGAGCCAGTTCGAAGTCGCAATGTGCGCATGAGCGGTATGTTGACCGCTGTCCAGTTGCTTGTTTGGTTTGCCTTTCCGGGATTGGATATTGAATAACTTGCGCAATTTCCAGCCGTATTAACTGATAGACCGTTGACAACTCACGAAATTACCGCGATCCCAGTTAACTAGGACGGCTCGAGTTTAAATTTTCACTAAGTTGATATTTTCTGTTGCGTCGCTAACTAACCCTAGATCTAGGCATATCAAGCCAGCTCACTAAACTGGTGCACTCCAGTTTGTATAATCATGCCCTAACTTAAAACATAAGTGTGAAAATTTCCGGTGAAATTGAATCAATCATAAATTTTGTTGTGCTCTTTAAGTAATGTCCTTTGATAAATAGCGTTGTTTTACCAGAAAATAACTGGAGAAAAGTAAAATTGGATGGATCTCATGCAAACTTTGCAGAGGTTGTTAGAAAACTTAAACTGTAACTTTAGAAGTGAGAAAAAAAATAGTTTGACAAATATATGGACTTAGCAAAATTAGTAAAAGAGTGTATTACTAATTAAATAAAAAAGGGTTTTAAGCAAAGTGCCACTTCGAGTATTGCAGCACATAAGTTACTGTAATAATATATGATCATAAAGGCGACTCAAGCTCTTTTTTAACTGAATCTTCCGCATTCTTTGCTTCCGATTTTTTTTTTCCGTTTTGGCATCCTAATTCAGTATCAAAATACTTTAAGGGCAATTTCCACGCGCTTCTTACGGTTTTAATTAATAGTACAGTCTACACAGTAAAAGACCAATGCTTCAAAGTTAACCTTTTCTTTCCAGTAATTACGATCTCGAGATTTTCGGAAGTAACTGTTAAAACGATGACAACTTTCCCTGTTTTCCAACCATCTTAGCTAATAATCAGAGCTTCTTATTTCAAATTTTCAAAACATCTGTCACGTTATAAGGTACTTTTATCTTTGGAGCAATGACAGCTCAATTTAAAAAGCAAACATGTTTACCTTGAGGATAGAATATAAGGGTTTGATCATCATACAGTTATCGTTCCAAGTGGAGCGCAGGTGATTTTGTAATCGGCAAGTCAACAACTGATCGTTCTTAAAATCAAGCGCAATGCATGTTCCTTTCTATATATCCCTCATATTTTTCTTTTGGGGAGCAAAACAAGGTAACCGTTAGGTCATCGTTCTTTCTTTTCCGCTCGTTTGGGATTGTTTTGTTTGATGCATGTTAAACGTAAATGTGGCGCTTCACACCAGAAGCAAATACAAAAGAAGAAATTAAACGAGTGATTTTAAATCTACACTCTAGAGAAACTTATAATCGTTTTCTCTCATTTACAATTCTGTCTTAAGAAGATTCAAAGGGAAAAAATGCAAACAAAAACAAGGAAAGCATTTTTTTTTTGTACTCGCGAACAAATTAAACAAACTGAATGTACTTATTGAATAACAAGCATTACTTATGATTTGCACGCGTACTGTGTTGACTAGCTAGAATACTTTACATCCCTCCTTTTTTAATATTGACTTTTTTCTTAGCATCATGTAGCCCTCTTTTCTGCGGGAGGAAAGGCATGTCATCATCCTCACGCATCGTGGGAGGAACAAACGCTTTCCCCGGTTCATGGCCTTGGCAAGCCGAAGTATTGAAACTTGACAAAGACACGATGAAATACTCTCATCACTGTGGCGGGACCTTGATTTCAAGCCAATGGGTGATGACCGCTGCTCACTGCGTCTTTGAAGTGCCTTTTCCTTGTCGTTACAAAGTAGTATTAGGTAAAAAGGAACGATATCGATTTATATGATATGTTAGAGCTGGTTTTTTGATATACCTAAAAAACACGCTGAGCTGGTATTACTCAGTACTGAAATTACTGAGTATACAATAAGCTGCTGTCTCTAAAATAAGGCAAACCGCTTATATATATACAAGCACTGCGGAAAATTTGGAAAAATCTAGGTGTCCATATTTTGGGGATTTCTCTTAAATTGAGAGTGGCCGTTGGGAAAGAGGTGAATGAGTGAAATATTGAAAGAAAAGACAAATGAATAAAAAGTACATACAATAATCGAAGAATATAATAATAATAATAAAAATAGCAAAAAATGGATCAAATGATTGGCACGTCAGGCCAAGGAATGTTAAATTGAATATTCTGCAAAACCTTTTCTGTAACACGAAGTAGAAAAAAAAATGAATTTAGTTTTTTGGTTATAATTAGAGCACAGTAAATTTTGTATGTTTATTAAAATCAGTAATCATAGTGAACAAAGAAGTCCGGGCTACAACCATTTCACAAAACCGTACCCTGTAACTACACTTACTCCATAGGTCAATATGACCGCTCAGTGAAAGATGCATTCGAAAAAGAGTATGATGTCGTGAGCATAAAAATTCATGAAGACTACTGGACCAAAGGATACGGGTACGACATTGCACTGTTAAAATTGAATGTTCCCGCTTTGGTTTTGCCTGGAAAAGTCTGGCAGGCCTGTCTTCCTGAGCAAGGAAAACGTGTACCGATTGGAAAGCAGTGTTACATATCAGGTAATTGTATTAGTATGGATACCATTAACTTTTGTTAAGTATTGTGATGACATTGTTCATGATAATAATGCCAATGGCAACAACGACGATCTCATAAGTTTCACTATAATCACTATAGAGTGGTTTTCGTTTGAGTGTCGTAAAACCAAAACCAAAGTAATTACTCTGGCCAATCACATAGGACACAGACAATACATTGAACCAATCAAAACTCGAAGTAATTACATGTGGCTGACGCAAAGCGCGGGAAAATGCATGCGAGCGCGTCACAATTGGCTTTGGTTTTACTTCTGATTGGATGAAAAGGTGGCGCGAATCTTTTAAGCCAATCGCATCGTGTAGAAAGTGCAAAACCAATTACTTTTCGACACTCAAATGAAAACCGCTCTAATCACTATAATTTCACTATAATCATCATCAAGTTCATCATCAGCAACGACGACAACAAACTTTATTAATAAACAAATAAAATTACAGAATCATTACCCGCCGCTAGCAAGGCTATTCGAGGCGAGACAATGGGTACAAATTATGAAATTAAGACTAAGACTAACTAACGCAAGTTTACAGTTTACAAATAAATGAAATTAAAATCGTAATATGGATGAGGACTAGATAACACGATAAAGAATGAAGAATGAAACAAAAAAAAATAAAAGTAAAAACTACTAAAAAAACATTTAGTTTTCGACATTTTTGGTATCATCATAATCAAAGTCATTATCGTCATCATCATTATCATCAGCAACAACATCATCATCATCATCATTATTTTACTCAGGAAGAAGGCTTAGGTGCTGCTTTTCTGGTGATTTTTATGTTTTTTTTCCACCTGGACAGGTTGGGGTAAAACTTCTCTCCCAAACATTTCCGATTTTTCCAACATTCTCCAAGAAGTCAAGATGCCTATTGTTGATTACACCACATGCGCAGCTGGAAATGCCAAACTGACTTACGCCAAAGTGGACGATGAGATCGAAGTGTGCAGTGGTTATGGTGGAAACAACCCGGTCAGTGTTTATTTATTTATTTTTCTTTCTTTCTTTCTTTCCTTCTTTATTTATTTATTTAGTTAGTTTGTTAGCTATGTATTTATTTTCCCTTCGCCTGTCCAGTACTAGCCTGTTCAGAGACCCTCCATTTTATCGTCAAAGTCCGCGCGGTTGATAAAATATAAACCGCAGGGGATTTCTTGACCGCCAGAGCAAGGGGGCGGGGGGGGGTTCGCGCGAGAGCTCACGATGTTTTCGTAAAGAGCGAAAAGAAAAATAAAACAACGTCTGTGTACAGGCTAGGTTAGTACCGTATCACTTTCGCGCTATTTTGTCAGAAAATTAAAAAAGCGCCGCAAAGCTTTTTGGAGTAAATACAACCGCTCGAGTTATTTTCATAGATATTCCACTATGAGAGCTGCTATCGGATCTGCAATTTGCTTCTTGTCCTTTGTAAACGAAAGCTTCGTTAGAGAGTGCTGTTTTAACAGTCACCTCTTAAAAAACACCTTGCAAGCTAATTGTGTAGTGGACAAAAGAAAGGCGGGCGTACATGCAAACTCATACCCCCACCGTTGTACAAGAATGGAAGGGGGGGGGGGTGGGACCTCTCCCTATAGTTCTTGATATGTTGCAGTATTTCGAAAAGGTTTTACCTTTAGTAGAATGCCTTTAATCACCTTGACAAGATGAGGTATATTTTATGGGTGGCGGCTCTGCTAGAGGCCTGTGACGTGACCAATAATGGTCGCTATCTTGGCCGCCATCTTGGTTTTTACCAAGAAGTAGAATTGGAGAAATCAGGTAAAAACGACGAGAATTGGTATTACATGGGTAATTACTTTGATTTATTTTATCCCCAAGCTTTGATTTTGTGGTTAAAAAAAGTTGAAAGAAACAATTCGTTCAAACATTGCTTGACCACCTGCTATTTATGACGTCATAACTCGTAACCATAGTAACTGATCATCAGTAAGGTTGCCTCAAAATGCGCTTTAGGGATAAACGAACAGCAACTGAAAACGTCAGGTGGTAATGTTTAATCGTCTGTGCAAAAAGACTCAGAGGGGGGCGGTGTGGCATCAATACCACTTGTGAGTCCGAGGGCTTATTCAGTTTCTCCCCAGAAATAGAAAAGAAATAAGTACCACTGAACGAATAAAAAGCATCAATTTGCAATAGATACACGGCATTAACCAGAACTGTCATAACTGTTTTTTGGCTTCCCATTATTAGCATTTTATTACCACTACCATTGTCATTATCATTATCATTATCTCCTTGGTATTAGAATTATTTCTCTTTTCATGGAAATGTAACACAGCAAACAGTTAACTTATTGTTTCAAAAGATAAGTGGTTGCCATGGCGATAGTGAAGGACCGTTAACCTGCGAGGAGGATGGTCGTTGGTTCGTGAGAGGTATAATCAGTTGGGGAGATCATTGGTGTCAAGGCGGTCCAACCTTCTCTGTTTCCGTTCGCGTCAGCCGGTTTGTTGAATGGATCCAGGCCATTATATGGTCCTTTGCAATTCCCAAAGGCAAGTTACCATGGAAACTATGCTGATTATGATATCGGACAAATACATTAAGTCATTAAAGGTTTTTTGTCACGAAGGCAATTTATTTACTCATTTATCCCTGCAGGGAGAAAACGACAATCGGCGAAAAAATTGTTGGGACATCGTCAACAAATGGGTTAACTTCGGAGAACAAATCAATACAAAATGTCAGAGAGGCGCTTTAAGGGAAAGTGTCTCAACTAATTGGTTGGCCGATTGTAGTTTAATCAGCAGGCAGGTTTTGTCATACGTCATCGTCAGTGCTTACCGACTTTATATCTTTGTATTTGCCTCACGGAAACTATTTCATTGTCCTATCTCTTTTACCTTTTAATTTTCAGTTGAAGACGCCTGTAAAGATCACTTGCCTCATTGCTCAAAATGGACTAAGGAAGGTTTGTGCACAGATGACTGGGCCAAGAACTATGTGAACAAATTCTGTCCTTTGAGTTGCAAGTAAAAGCCAAAGCAAAGAATGCTTCATGGTTTGTAATGTCATATTTTTTTCCTTTACAGTATTTTAAGACCAGAATACTACTAGTTCGTCCGCTTCGAGGAAATAGCGAATCCTGAAGTTCCATGCATGCAGACAGTTGAAATGCAGTTTTATTCAGGCACGGTCGTTCGGTTGGTGACTGGGACTTTTAAGTTGCAGCCTTTTTGATCATTTAATGGAAACTTAGCGTCAGATTAAAAAAAAAAAACACTTAGTTTGATCGAGTGTCAACGTATTTAGCCCCAAAGTTACTAGATGGCACAACTTCAATGACGTCTGCTTTTGGAGACGATACCACTATTTTACGTGGTCATCCGAGCCAGGAGAAGGTCCAGCCGTTTGCCGAGAGCAAAGGAAGTGTTTTCATTTCTCAGTTCGGTTTTAAGACCCTGAGTATCGATGCTGTCCATGGAATCGAACCCACTCTACAGTCAAGCTTTCTACTGTGAAGTGAGCTAAACCTTCCGCTCTCTATACCCTAACTTTAATTGGTTCTCAAGAAAGTCAGTAAAACAACAATAAAACAACAACACCAGCAAAAATAAAAGAAGTAAAGCCCCTCAATTTAAAGCTTGTATTCATGAGTGCAATGAAATATACAAGAAAACAATTATTATCCTGAAAAGTCGGAAACTGTTCAGTCGCTATTTTAAATCCTTTGACTATACAACTGTCAGTGTAAAACTTTTATTCAGATACCAAACGCCTAAACTATGTTTAACCCATCGGGAATCAATATTACTGTATTATCATTATTCTCCGTCGTTTTTCATAAATTTGCAGGTTACGACGAGATGAAAGAAAGATGACCAGATTTGCCAGTGACGAGAATTAGCTAATGCAATATGTAAACTTACAGCATACTAACAGTAATAAACTATGCTAAAAATGAGCTCGTTGTGTTACGATATTTTAATAATATGGATACGATTTTTACTTGATTGTAGATAACAGTCCTAATGTTGGTACTTGAAAGGCTCTGCAAGCAGAAGCGATTAACAAGTATATAGGATCCATATTCAGAATCTTTCAATTTAACAGGCACTTTAATTTGCGTGTTTTCAGAAGTCTCTCCCCACCTACATACACACACACATACACTTTTGGAGAGAATTTTCCAGTAGTTTGTCTAATCTTATACACTGAAAAAGTTCGCTTTATTTGGTCAAAACACATGTTTGTTTTTTTGGATTAGCTAATTTAGCACACAAATTTAGTAATTAGGTTTAAAACAGTATTCTTTGTTTCGCAACCACTGGGAAAGAAATTGATCTTCTTCAATCCGTATGATAAAGAACCTGACGTCTCATGTTACTATCTTAAATGAGGCGGGATATCAACAAGGGCGACATATTCATATCACAGCACCTCTCTCGCAGTGGCACCTACAAAAAAAAAATGTGTTCACTTAAAGTTTCTCAGACTCAGCCAAGGTGGTGCTTGCTTTTCAGTTAATGCAATTGTTCCAGCTGCGGACACAGCGGTAACAAGGTGACACGACTATGGGAAAGCTTTCAGCCAGTTTACTTGTTTTTATGGAAAATTCATTAAACTAGGCCAACATAATAATAATGATACGTTTGTAAATTGGCAGCGAGCGAGCTCAGCTGACATCAGGGTTTAAGGTGAATTAAAATGTTATTTTAGATTATGACACTAGACCAAACATAACATAGAGTATGCTACTCGTAGACAGGCGTGGTTTGCATGAGTTTGCCTCAAATGGCACTGACCAGAAGGAATCTCTCCAGTCTCTCAGTGAGAAAATTTGATGCCAAGCATATGCACTCAAATGTTATCATTGTGGTGCGGGTTTTTTGATATTGCAAATTAAAATGACTGAGCGTAAATTCAAATAATACTAAATGAGGAAAAAGAGCATTATGAAAGTAGTGCAAGCCAATAATTAACCAAATTAGGGAAACTCCGGTCCATTCAACTTTCTTTCATAGCGCATTGTTTTAACCTATGTACAAGGAAAACTAATGTGTTAAAAGTCAAACCAAACATCAAAAAGAAAGATCCATAAGAAGTAAACAAGAAAAGAAGATCTCGCTTTTGCTGCATAATAGCATTTTACAAAGATTTTTAAGCTTTGGTAATGAGAAAGGGTACGTTTTTCTTTACATGTAAAATGTTGAGTAAGTTCCACCCAAGATAATGAAGGGAAGGCGTGGCCTAATTGGCCCTATTGAACACTTGTTGAGTAACACAAAGAAACGCTCTACTTATCATTATTGTTTTAAGCTACCTTAAGTAAGAAAAAACAAAGTTTATTGTGATTTTCACGTTTTTTTAAGAGTAAGTTAAATTTGTTTTAAGCTAACTTAAGTAAGAAAAAACAAAGTGTATTGTGATATTCACGTTTTTTGAAGAGTAAGTTAAAATTGTTTCTTTGCGCAAACATTATGCATTTAGAGCAGTAGTCTGTACTCCAAAATGTTGCTGTCATATCTTTTTTTAGATTTGATAGGTAAACCAGAAATCCTCAGTTCGGGTATTTTCTATTCTTTAAGCTGAGTTATGGGTCAAGCATTTTAAACGGAACAGTTTTATGAGAAAAAAAAAATATATTGCCTGCAGATGAATCGAACTAATGGGTAATGTCTTAAAAAGTGTGTAAACAAACATTTCATGAGCTCGCACATAATGGATTTATCAGAAAATATAGCGTCCTCAAGTACACAATAGTTTTTTGGGACATAACTGGTATTTACTCTAGTTAAAATGAAAAAAAAAACAAAAAACAAAACATGTTATGCTTTTGATATATATTGATTGAACGGAATATTCTAGACAGAGGTCTTGCAATTAAACGTTAAGTGTTCCTTGTTTATACAACCTGCAGCTGCACCATCGGTCGATAAATATCGGGGCAAGCCCAAGTTGCCGTCACTTGAGACTCAGTAGGTTCAAGAGATGGAGCTATTTGCAGTTTTCACAATCCTTTCAGCCGTATTGGCTTTCACAGAAGGTGAGGAAAAGCGATAAGACAGTATTCTAGACGACTTGCAGTGGTCTTCAAACATTATGAAAAAGGGACCGAAACGCTGTGAGGCTAGGTTGAAAACTAATGGATGCATCCCCAAACGACTTCTTTGTAATATTTAGTCTTACTGACTGATGAGGGATAACTGATACACTAATTTTAGTAAAATCTACGATCTGACTTCGATCCATATTTCCTTGATAGGTGCGAAAGAAAAAAGTCGTAAAAATGGCATGAACATCCTTTCGCATTTGTTAACGACAAAGCAATAATTCCTTAAACAACCCTTAATAGTTCACACAGTGAATGCATCATCATCATCATCATCATCATCATCATTATTACTGTCATCATCATCATCATTATTTAATTTCAGGTTGCGGCAAACGCCACTTTACAAGTCGAGTTGTTGGTGGTGAGAATGCACCCAAGCATTCCTGGCCTTGGCAGGTGTCTCTGCGAATTACGTACAATGGCAAGTTGTATCACATTTGTGGTGGCTCCTTGGTTGGTGAGCGGCATGTGGTAACAGCTTCTCATTGCGTGGTAGACAGAAATGACAAACCCTACCAGGCTAATCTGTTTACAGTTGTCGTAGGTGAGAAAATCTCGCTGCTTAAGAGTCATCTACGTTCTGACTCAAATGATTTATATTTGTTGATTCAAGGGTCGCCTAACGCTTCCCGCAAGATAAGTGAGGAAGCAGACCATAGTTTAGCCCGGTGCAAAAGATAGCTAGTGTGAAATGCGCCAACAGCTCCAATAGGATTTACTATCCCAGAACTCGGTGAAATGCATTCTATAGACTGGGATATAGTACCCACATTATCCGTGATGTTATCGAGCTCAATGCTTCAATGACGGAATTGAAGCATGAGCCTAGTGGAGATCACCATCTGTACGGTCATGGTAAATACTATATTTGTTGTTTCAATCTCTAGGTGCCCATAAGCGGACTGGGACAACCGATGTTCAACAGGCAATTAAAGTGAAAAAGCTGTTTGCGCATGAAGGCTTTAGTTATGGCCACCTGAGAAACGACATTGCCCTTTTGGAACTGGAATGCCCGGTTACACTAAGCGACAAGGTCAATACTGTTTGTCTACCCATTCAAGATTCCAGGATTACTGACGGTCACAAATGTTATATCACAGGTAATGTTTCTTTCACCATAACTTGAGGCGCAGAATAACTCAGGTGGCTAACCTTAGAGATTTTCTCCATTTTACACGTGATGAAATTTTTTTATGTCTATCTCTTGGGAAATTTTTTTTAGGTATTACTGTTTTTATCTTGTTTTATTTTCTGTTGTGGCATGTTACGTTGTAACTGCTGTTTTACTTTCTTTGACGAATTTTAGGGACAATTGATTCGTACAAGAATGATCAGACGTATCGACCAAAAAGGCCACGACATGATTTTGAATGACGTCATAATCCCCTGTCCCAAAAATTAAATTTATACCTATCTCCAAAATCGACCAGAAAGGCCACGACATGATTTTGAATGACGTCATAATTCCCTATCCCAAAGAATAAATTTATACCTATCTCCAAAAGCTCATCACAAGCGATATGAAGTATAGAATCTAAATCATGTGTAGATAACAGCGAAAATACGCACGGCCATGACTGCCCAACTTTTCTTCTGCTATGGTACGGTTTCTTCTTCCATAGGTGCGTCTGAAGTACAGAACGGTGCTGATATGAAGTGGGATCTAGAAATACAAATTTAAATAAAGATAGGATCGTCGCAATTGTCACAACATTGATGCACTTAAGCCGAAAACTAAAATGTCTAGGTGAGAAGAAAATAGGGTTATTATAAGAAAACAACTTTTTCACAATAACTGACTGAATCCTCGCGCGCTGATTGGTCGAGAGCTATGTTCTATGAGAGTATAGACCATGGAAATGACGTAACATGTCACGTGTGGCTCGTGATTCCACTTGACTTTTGGACATTTTATGACGTCATTTATATGGTCTATAAGTGTGTAGACCATGGAAAATTGTGGTCGATTCGTTAAATATATAGAGGATATTACACGGTGGCGAGAACATAAAATTCATATCTTCGAGCCAACGTGTAATGTTCTTTTTATTATATGGAGAAACCAATTCAACAAAAGCAAAAGGCGGGAATCGTGACGTCATTGAACGATACGACACTCACAAAGGTGACATACGGAAAATACGCCAGTCGGGTCCCGGATGAAGTGGCGTATGGAATGTACGAGTGGTTTAGTTCCCAGTAAAACACTCTCCTCCATATAATAAATTCCGTTAATAATTTGATTTAGGATGGGGTCGTACTGTTGGAGGCGGAGACGCTGCAGACACATTGCAGCAAGCAATGCTTCCTGTGCAGAATCCCCAGAAATGTGCGACTGTTAACAGGCCGTTGGCACCTGTGGACGAGAAATCCATGATCTGCGGCGGAAGTGGAGTAGCAAACCAGGCTGGTGGTTGCCAAGGAGATAGCGGTGGGCCGTATGTCTGTGAGGAGAACGGAAAATGGGTTCTCCGAGGAGCTGTCAGCTGGGGTCATGGCATGTGCCGAACTGAATATTTCACTGTGTTTGCGCGGGTCAGTTCTTTCAGAGAATGGATCGACGAAAAAATGTCAGGTATTGGAAAGCATTTCCATTGTTTGTTTGTTGTTCGCAACGGATCAGATTACAGTACTAGATAGTTTAAGCTGAGGAAATAAATACTTGTGTCTTAAATCATCGCGGAAGCGATTTTTGCGCATCATGGCCTCCCACCAATTAAGGCCCAGTCTGAATTCCTTAAGCAGCACTAGATTTGTTTTTGTTGCCTCCTTCCCGGTTTCCAGCTCTTAGTTAAGTTAAAATGAACCAACTTAACAATCTCAAAATTTTAGTTTAGACAAGAGATGCTTCCAAGAAAAAACATTTGGTGGATATGTTAGTTAATATCTGTAGTTGTTAGTTTGTAGTGTTAGTCTTACTGCCAACCCTCTGGGTAATCTTGGATGACTTAGTTATGATCATCAATATTCGTTTCAAAATCACTTAACTAACCTTTATTATTATTTTTTTTAGCAGGTGAAGGGAGTGGTGCATAGGCATGAGGTAAATAACTTAATTTCATTGCTATTCATCTGTACGGGAATGTGAACTGATTCAACTTGCTTACAAATTAATCTTTCCATTTTTTTCCCAAAGTTAATTGATTGGTCTTGACTAGAGATCACTACTTCACACCTTATCAGAACTGTTTGAAGTTTGAAGCAGGTGTAAAAGACACCGCAAATACTGCGGGAAGCAGGGATGGAAATACTTGAAGAAGAATGAAACGGATTGTAATTGTGGTTTTTGAAAACTTGTCCACCTAACAGTTTTTCAAAGTTCATTTTTGTTGTTTGTAACCATTGATATGATGTTTGGGAGACACATTTTGTTTGACACGAAGCAGTGATTTTGTCATTCACAGGTATTTTTTCAAGTTTCATAGCGAATAAGGGCGCATGGATGGCATTAGGGCATAAGAAACAAAATGAATTAGGCAGCCGTGACACAGCCCCTTTAAGAAGAGATCTCAATTTTTTTAAAGTTTCCGATTGAAATTTGTCTTTATTTCTTTTTCACAGCTCTGGAATAAGGATCAAACGTTCTTCACGCATTTGCCATGGTGGGCTTGTGCATAAATTTGTAGTAAAGTAGGCAAACTGAAATAAATCTCATCGACGTGCATTCATAATGTCACTTTTTCTGTGTCACTTTCGTTCTAAGAAATTTAATGGTTTCATTTTTACCCAGACATTTTTTTTCCCTTGCACATTTTACTCTGGGTTGTTCGTGGCTATTACTAAGGCAGTCCAAATAACCGTATTGCAAGTTGTCTCCTCTTTTTTTTTTTCTATCTCCTTAACTTGCCATAACAATGTTTCCTCGAAAAAAATACTTAAAGGGGATAACCATGCCGGCTTTAAATGCGATCACTCTGCTTTTTGCACCCCCCTGAATCAAACAACGTTTCTGTCGTCTGTCAAAAGCAACCTGAGATTAAATTACATAAAATATATAGTATGGCACTTCACAAAAACTCCCTATAACTTAAACAATTAGTTGTAGACTGTCGCAGTTTCTATACCCGAAACTTAGAAAGAGATAGTATTTTGGTCTACTTTTGGACAGTTGTTTTGTTTTCTAAAAGTTGTATTTAAAAGACTATAAAAATTCAGTTCTGGGAGGTTTAACCTTGCTTTATATAGAATATATTAAGCCGGTATTTATTTTTATTGAATAAGGCAAGAGAATATTAATCCAAACATGTTTTAAAACTTCTATCGGCATCAATACAAATGTATTTTTTAACAGTACTGTTTGCGGGATTGTTATTGTGCTTATATAAGTATATGAAGCACCTGCCACGCTTTATAAACAGAACAGTTCTCGTGTATGTGTATATTGTTAAAAGACTGTGAAACCGAGATTGTGGAGACGACAATTTAAAAAAAAAAGCGGCTTGCCCCCTTTTCGGCTTTCTTTGTCTTTAGAGTTGGCGTTTGAAAAACGAAAATTATCACAGCGCCGTAAAAAGTAGCACAGTGCTCGGAGTCACCGTTCATAACTTTTCTCCCACTCTTGCGGGTCTTTGTTCTTTTTTGTGTGGGGTTTGAAAAAACCACAGTTTCCACCGCCCCAAAAAAAACAGCGACTCGCCGGGGGCCCCCGTGCTAACCTTTTCCCCCCTGTGTTTTTTAAAAAACCAATCCGCGGGGGGTGCGGGAAAATACCCCCCCCCCCCCCCCCCCCCCCCTCTCAAATACTTTTCTCATCTTTTATCGATCTTTTCATTTCGTGAATGTTTACTTTAATTTATTTCGTTCCAAGTGAAATTGATACAAAGGAACGATTGATTATGTAAGAATTGAATTAAAAAAAGATGTCCAGGTATTACCATCATGGCCATCAGTACACTTAGACAGTTTTTAATGCGAGCTTGTAAAAGAAAAACGAGAAAAAATGTTTTAAAAAAAGAATGAGAGCAAGTTACATTAATAAAGGTGTAATTTACTATAAAAATGGAAAGTTTTATGACAGGAATATGAAAAAAGATCTTTTTTATTTCGACATACATTGTCCTTTTTTCAATCTTTTTGAGCAAAGAGGAAGGACATTTTAGCCGGTTGTCGTGAAAACCACTGAATTATTGCCGACAGGGTAGGTGTTTTCCTTGGATACAAAAGGCACCGAGGATATGAACGAAATGACCCAATGTGTCTAATTACAAGAAAAGAAACCGCTTTTTGCCATCTGTCAGCTGGTTACCAAGAATCTCCTATAAAGCATCAATCTTCACTCTTTATGTTGCCTGTTTTACTAACAAGGATATCATGTTTTCTTTGATTATTACTGTGACCGTTTTTCTCATTCCCACCCTTACTCAAGGTAAGGTAAGATTACTGATGTTCAGTAAACATTCTTCATTTTCCGAGGCCAAGTTTTCTTATTCAGTATTTCAATTCCACACAATTATTTTACTTTAGGGCAATGTAACGAAATTTAGTATCCACGGATTAAGCCGAGAGTGGACAGAAAAGGAAAAAGCACAGAGAAAAACAACAAGAACAAACATTACTACGCATTGCATAGTACGAGCTATCTAAAGTTCTTGTACAATATTATGAGTTCTCACAAGATCATGTTGGCGTGCTTAATCGGAGGGCTGACACCCTAATCACATGCGTCTCTATACTTAAAAGCTCTGCAAGTTTTAGTTTAATTATAGATTTTTTTTTTTTAAAGATAACCAACAAACTGAAATAATTTGTCTACGCTTTTTGTTTTCTGTAATCGCCCACATCCCTTAGCCTATTTGTTGAATGTATTCAGGTATATATGATGCTGCTTTATCTACGGATATCAAACAAATCAACCAACGACAAGCTCTCTAAAGTTAGTCTAGGAATACTATTGTGGTTCTAACGTGGCTATATACACTCATTCAGGTTGTGGGAATCGCCCAGCTGGCATGCGTGTCGTGGGTGGAGTGGACGCCCAGCCCCATTCCTGGCCGTGGCAGATTTCACTCAGGGTAAATGGAAGGCACATTTGCGGTGGATCACTTATTAGGCCCGATTGGGTTGTCACCGCAGCCCACTGTGTTGACAGAAACAAAAGCCCGAGTGGATACACCGTCGTCATTGGTAAGTTCAACAAATATTGAAGATCTTTAGGCTAGTATGAGTACGAATACGAGATTTGACTTATTTTGTTATTTTATTTTTTGCGTAATTTAAGAAATTAGAAAAGTAAGTTAGTACTGTTACTTATATTGAAGGAGATTAAGCCCTCTTCCGGTCGCAAAATGATAAAACTGACATTTTTATTTTTTTTTTGGATAACTTGTTTCTGCCACTACGAAATTCTCGCTAAAACTCATAGTAGAGTAGTAGCAGGCTATCATGTTTTCGCCCCAAAATGACGCTGGTTCACGTACGAGCACTATGTAGTCTTGAGAACATCTCGTACTCTAGTCACGCTCGTCTTAGAAACTAAAGGTCTCTATTGAAAAGACTAATATTTGAGGTATTCCGCTTATAACTGACGATTATGAAACAAGTAGCAATTTCTCGCAATAGAATCGAACTTAAATTTAAAGTTAGCAAAGAAATTGCTTCCGTATTACACTTACGTGCAAACAAGCCGATATCTCTCAAGCACTATATATTTTTTTACAAAGTAACAAGAAGTATAACGTTTTTTTAAATTATTTATTTATTATAATTATAATAATAATAATAATAATAGTAATTATTATTATTATTATTATTATTATTATTATTATTATTATTAATGAAATAACGGTTGAAAAGTCGTGTTACTTCCGTGCTGAGCTAGTCTCCCTCGCAGCCGTGTTTTGTCTCGTCACGCAACACTCTTCTTCAACAAAGGAAGAGGAACGTTGCGTGACGAGACAAAAATGGCTACAAGAGCTTGCTGTACTGTACCACAACTGTAGCAACAGATGTTGCATTTAATTCAGTCAAATAAAATAGCGTTTTCTCAGTCTTCTTCATTTTCGGAATCAACGAGCTGCATCACTGCGTGAAATTGCCCAATAGAAGGTTTATCAAGTATTCATTTATTTGCATCTTGGTTATCACAGTTCACCATTAGTATTAAATTCTTCTCATTAACCACCTTAGGCGCTCATGTAAGAACTGGCTCGACCGCTGTACAACAAACCTTCAATCTGAAACAACTCTTCTCCCACGAGTCATTTTCTATGCAACACCTTAGAAATGACATTGCACTGCTACAGCTTGACCGCCCAGCCACACTTAGCAGCAAAGTAAACACAGTTTGTTTGCCTACGAAGGGAAGCAAAGTTGCTCCTGGTACAAGGTGTTTCATTACAGGTAATGTTTTTTTCCACATCCTTATTTATCCTCACTTGTACATAAAGTGGGGCAGATTTTAATAATTAGAACATCTCCACAAGTTACCTTGACCATGCAAAAAAGCCATTATTGAGGTAATATATTACTATATTTCACAAAATGCAGCCACTTCCCCTTAGCTGCAAAGATTGATCGTTTTATTGGAATTGATTGCGGCCTCCTTTTTTTAACGCATGTATATGTTGTCGCTCAATTTTGTCGTTGGTTTAAATTGTATTTTCTCTTGTTTTAATTACAATAGCCCCAAAACAAAGGGAAATAAAATTTAAACCTGTGATAAAATTAAACCACAACACTTATATATCACTACTATTTTGTTTTTTTCTTTTTTCTTTTGTTTGTTTGCTTGTTTACCTCCCTAGTTCGGCCTTTCTTCGTTTGGAAAATGTCCCCCACCCCTCTTATTATTATTATTATTATTATTATTATTATTATTATTATTATTATTATTATCATCATTTATAAATAATCTTGTTTTAACCCAAAGGGGTTGCCCCTTCGGTTATTTTGTGAGCATGCAGTTTTAACATGCGCCCATAATTCACTATATCTATTTTAAATGTTATCGTGCGCAGGATGGGGACGAACCATTGGTGGGGGGGCAGCAGCAAGTACTCTGCAGCAAGCCGAGTTGCCTGTCGTGGAACATTCCAAATGTGCTCGTACAAATGGCCGTTTAGCTCCCGTCGACGAAACCACTATGGTCTGTGCTGGAAGTGGGATCGCTGGACAGGCAGGTGGTTGTCAGGGTGACAGCGGAGGTCCTTTCGTTTGCGAAGAAAATGGAAATTGGGTTCTGCGTGGAGCTGTAAGCTGGGGAAATGGAATGTGCACCACTGACTACTTCACCGTCTTTGCACGTGTCAGTAATTTCATTGATTGGATCAATCAAAAAATGTCGGGGTCTGGTGGGTCAGGGGGATCAGGAGGAGGTAGCGGTAAGTCTTAGACTATGTGGATCATTATACGTTTGTGGGATATTGCCCACCTACCCCTCCCCTAAGCCAACATTAACACTTAATTTCAGTTAAGGCAAAATGTTGTCTTAGGGGAGGGGTAGGTAGGCAGCCTCCCAGAAAAGCATAATAATCTGGCTATGTTACACTATTGCGCTGGTACGATAGAGAAACAAGGAAAGAATACCATATTTCAAGGAATTAGTTCCTTTTCGTATTATGTATTAACGCTAAGTTAAACAAGAGGACTAATGACAAACATTGATGTCAATATTCACAAACAGTTCATCTTCTCCGCGAAAATTGTAAATAATTAATTTCACTTAAGATGGAGGCTGACTCTGCATCAAGGCGTCTTTGTTGCTTTTATTATGGTGTCATTGAGAGCTCGACATCTGGGTGAAACTCGTCGTTTTTAATAAAAAAAACTGTCCTACGACATGAGCAGCGCAGGACTCTGAAAGTACCGAATGTAGCTAGGTCATCCCCAGCTTGTTTCAAGTTAAAAACGTACATACGCACGCGTCTTTGGCTGCATGATGGCTATGAGACACCACTCCGCCTTGCTAACCGTTTTTTGTTTGTTAATTAATAGCATGTGCGGACAGTTCTCCACATTGTCCATATGTTACGCAGTATTGCAGCTATCCGCAAATTCGTAACCAGTGCCTCAAGTCATGTGGAGCTTGTAAGTTTTATGTTTTGTTTTGCTTTTCTTTTCTTCTTCTTCTTCTTCTTTTTTTTTTTTTATTTTTTTTATCGATACGTCCGAGGGACAAATTGCGATCAGTTCGCTTGCTTTCAATATCACTATCACTATAATCATTAACATAATTATTATCATTATCGTTACCGGTATCGTTAATATTATCGTTATCGTTATTAAAATTAATATCATTATCATTATCATTATTATTTTGTCTTATATATTTATTTATCCTTTTTTTTTTCTGGGTTTCAGGTGGTGGAGGCGGTGGGCCCTCCTGCTCTGATAGCAGCAAAAATTGTCCAATCCTTAAAAGTTACTGCAGTTTCCACAAATATGTTCAACTAAAATGCAAAAGAACCTGCAACCTCTGTTAGACGGAAACATCGTAACACATTCAAAAAGGTAACGTGTACTTCTCTTTCTCGTACGAGATTTTTTTATGATAGAGAAGGAATTATTTATATCATTGGAGAATCATAAATATTGAGATGGAGAACACCCTCCGAGATCCTTAAAAAGTCTTCTTTCATTTTTTTTTTTTTCCAAATGACAAGAAAATAATATAACGATATGCGTAATGTTCCGGTCTTCAAAATATTTGTGAGCTTTCGCAAAAAAAGAAATCTGAAGGAAAAAGAGGACGGCAAAACGTCTAATACTTGTGTTTCCATTGTGGTTTTTACTTAACATTACTGTGTTTGAAAAAAAGAACAATTCAAAGGAAGCTGAATTTTTGCTTTTTTAACATAATTATTGTCACGCTCACGACACGAGGTTTTGCCATCTGTTTTGCTTTGTCGTCTTAAACTGTAAGTTCACTATTTTCCTCTTCCCTGGCAGATTCACGATATAAAGGTGATGTTTAGTCTAGCAACTATTCTTAAAATGGCAGTTGTCATCCAATCTGTGGTATTTTTGCTATTTTTTTGTTAAATTTTCGGGCGGTAGTTCCACCACTTCTTCTCCGAATTAATTTTTCTTCAGCTATACCTACCCAAATAGCTGAGCTACAGCGCCTTCGGAAAATTATAATGATGATAACGATTTTGGCGATGAAAATAGTGATAACAATGATGATGATAATGATGGTAGTGATGAATGAAAACTACTAACAAGCAGCGTTTCCTTCTCTCCCTCTCTCTAGGTTGAACATCAAGTCGTCTTCGCAAGCTGATTGGGGATTATTTATTTCATTTTTATCAACGTAATACCGGTGGAAAGAGAAGCTCAATATCGGGAACTAGAATTGTGAAAAAGTAAATAAATAAATAAACGAAAAAATCAATGTAAATGACTTATGCTCGTAGTCATACTGATTTTCTTTGGTTTTTGGCTGATTATATATGGCACAACCCTTGCTTTTAAATTATTACATCCAGTTTTGGATCACTGGTGATCCTTGAAATCTGATTGGCTAATTCACGCTATTTTCATCTCAATCACTTATTCTGCTGCAAATCATCCTGTTCATTTCTGTTTCGAAAAAAGTAAGATGTACAAGCTTTCCAATCTATATAAAAGGGCTCAGTATGGTAAGGGTAAGGGTAAAGCTGGACCTCAGAGGGTAGGGGGGGGGGGGGGGTGGGGGGGGGGGAGAGGGGGGGGCTTTATGGTCTTTGTTTAAAAATACTTTTTAAAAAACCCCTGTTTTTTTTTTACCTTAGTTTTCCTCAAAGCCCCTAAAAAAAAAAAAAACAAAAAACATTTATTTTATTTTAATTTCACTTCAACTCCTTATTCTGCAAAAAATCCTCTTTTTTTTTTGATTTACAAAAAAAGAAAAGGGTAAACTTTCTCCAACAAAAAAAAAGGGGGGGGGGGGGGGGGGGGAGGGGGGAAGGGGGGGCGCGGGGGGGGGGGGGGGGGGGGGGACTGGCGAGGGGCGAGGGGGGGACGTTATAGTCGATCTGTATAAACATCCTTTTAAGAATCCCCTGGTTCTTTATTCACCTGAGTTACCCTGAAGGCCCTGAAACAATACACAAACCAAAATCGTTAATTGCATTCGATATACTGTTTAGACACCGTCGTACTTTCAGCGTATACTAAAAGCAGTAAGTGAATGTTCCCTTGAAGTGTTTTTTTTCCCATCACAATGCCCAAGCAAAAGAGAGTTTGTAACACCTGATTTAACTGTCTCAAACAAGCCAAACTGTTAACTTTTCATAAGTCAAAACCATCATACGAGCATTTTATCCCAAGCAAAAACCATCGTGCGAGTTTGCACTGTTTACAGGTGTATTGTGCCAGCTTCATGCCATTGTGTTTTACTGCAGACAGACGATAAAAAAGCAATTGCTTTTCTGAGCTGTTTTCAGTCCTTATCTTGACTTGACTCAAGATGATTTCTAAAACAGTTGTCGTTCTACTCGCTGCAGTTGCCGTTATCATAAAACCAGCAACCGGTAAGTGTTCCTCTTTTGGTCTAAGAACCTTTTTTTTTACTTAGGTATAAGGATACTGCATTTCAGCACACTACAGAAAAAAGTCTAGATCAAAACTGATGGTAAAACAAAAAAAAACAAGTTGAAGAAAACTAATGACTTCAACAGTTTTTTTGTATTGGTTGTGTTTTTTTTTTTTTTTGGCTAAAAGTGTTGAAGGGTAGATCAGGAAAAATGAAGAAAGTTTAACAGGAAAATAATTGGCTACATTTTCCCCATTACTTATCATTTGCAGAGTAATGAAAAAAAACTCGAATTGTTTGTCTCCTTGGCAGCCTTTTTTGTCTCGTCAAGTGCTTCTTTTGAGACTACAAAAAGATTCGTGCACGAGTATTTTTTACATTGTGTTCACTAATGCAATGTGACTATAACCCATCACACAGTTAAAGGGGCTGTGTCACTGCAGTCCAGTTCATTTTGTTTAATTTTGCCAATGACTCGCCCTTAATCGCTATAGAACTTAAAGTAAGCAAAGAAATTACATGTAAACGACAAAATCAGGATCTGAGACAAACAAAAATGTCTCCTGAGCATTATTTTTGAGGTTGCAAGCAGCAGGGATCAACTTTGAAAAACTGTTAGGCTGAACAGTTTTCAAAAACCCTAATTTCAATCCGTTTCAATCTTCTTCAATTTTGCCCATCCGTGACATCTGTTTTCAGTCATGTTATGTTATTTTAACCTTCTTTTAAAGTTTTAAGTGGTTATTTTTATGTTTCTCTTAACTTAACGGGCATTTTGTACTTTCCTAATTTGACTGAATTTCGTTACACAGCTCCTTTAAGTACCACCTCATGCAGTTGCGAAAGGAAGCCTGAAAAAAATCAGGCTTGACGGGATTCGAACCCTGACCTCTGCGATACCGGTCTGCCAACTGAGCCAGCAAGCCAACCGGGAGTTAGTCATCATTAGTATAATTTAATTCTTTTTGTCAGGTTTTCATTTTTCCTGGTGCATAAGTTGCGCGTTTACTGTGGTGATCTTCCTTACATTTTTTTTCCTTCCGCTGTTCAAATATCATGACTAAATTCATAAGGTCACCATTTCATCATGTACTATTTTTTCCTGCACTAATTCTAGGTTGTGGGCAGCGCATTGGTTCCAGGGTTGTAAATGGCCAAAATGCACAGCGCCACGCTTGGCCTTGGCAGATTTCACTTAGGGTAAATGGTCGGCACATCTGCGGAGGATCCATCATAAGTCCAAGATGGGTTTTGACTGCTTCTCACTGTGTTGAGAGAAATCCTTACCCCAGAGGATACACTGTGATTGTTGGTAAGTTCGAATCAAGAACCCCTGGTCTATATTGCGCCAATTATAGACCCTATCTTAGTCACTTTTAGGCAAATGTAATTTTCATGATCCCAATTTATTCACTCACTGTTGCATTTACCCGTTATATAAGCCCTTTAACTAGTGCATCCTAAAAAAATGTTTGCTTAACTTTTAAAATGTGGTAAAAATCTTTCCATCTTGAAATCCCTAATTATAAACCAGGAAGTTTCTACCCTCAGATGCGATGCGTGAACCTAATTTCTAGTAACTCTATTGAAATTGAAATCTCATTATAGTCAGTCAGTCCAGTCGTGAAGAAATGAAACCTCATCTAGCGGCGCATCCCCATTAGCCTCGTATTAACAATAATTATTATGCCTCGAGCCCGAATGGACTCTGAGTCAATAGCCCAAGAAGCCGAAGGCCGAATGGGCTATTGACTCAGAGGCCATGAGGGCTAGGGGAATAATTGTTTTAGTAAAATCCAACAAGTTGGTCAAAAATATCGAGATTGAAAAAAATTTAGCTGGTGAAAACTAGACTTTAATCCTTTTTTGCTACCAAAAAGCCCGCGGCTATAACATATAGCCTAGTAGTAGCTCAACCAATTAGAACGCAGCACTGATAATAGACCACTCCCCTCTCCCAGGTTAATATTCTTCTGAATTACTTAATCTATTCCATTTTTGCGCCATCACAGATTTGTTTCAAACGCCTCTTTTCTCTATCTCAGGAGCGCATGCTCAAAGTGAAAGGCCGAGGAGTGATCAGGTATTTTACTTAACAAGAGTAATAATGCACGAGCGATATCGTCAATTAAACTATGACGTCGCCCTGTTGGAATTAAACAGACCAATACAGATGAGTTACAAGGCTCGACCTGTTTGTTTGCCACAACATGGGAGCAGAGTTTTACCTGGAACACAATGCTATATTACAGGTTGGTGTTGTAAAACCAGAGTAGTCGGATATGGCACGTACAGTGTGCAAGCTTTAAAGCCGCATTCACTAGATAGGAATTCAGCGGGTCCCGAGGTGATTTAATCTTACACAAACCGAGGAAGGGAGAGGTGGAGGGGGGAAGCTTTTGAGCCTCACCTCGACTTTACAATTGAAAATAGCTTAGAACTGTTTAAACTTGGATGGGGATACATTGTTGATTAAAATCAGTTCAAGCTTAGCTGGGGTTACTTTTTTGATTAAAATCTATATCCAAATAGTCCTTCTTTCTCCGGAGATCTCGTTACAGTGAATTAATGGTAAGCGCAGGATTCGAGTAGATTTTTATTTGCGTAGTCTTTCCCTTTAATTTTGTACTTACTGATTTGCTAAGGCATTTCCCAAAGAGAACATATTCTACTTCAACTGCACCTACATAGTCGATAAATAGGTGTAATAGCCAGTATAGGTGTAAACAAATTACTGACCTTTAATTAAAGGTTTACACGTTATTTTATTCATTAGGATGGGGGCGCACGGTTGGTGGTGGTAAAGGTGCGAACATTCTTCAACAAGCCATGTTACCAGTTGCTAATGACAAAAGATGCCAAAATGTAAACGGAAGAATTGGTCGCGTCTATAGCGACACCATGATTTGTGCTGGAGGCCAAGGGCGGGGTGGATGTCAGGTACAGGGTACACTCATGCCGTGCCAGAGGAAGCGGCTTAATCGTTGTCAATATGGTTAATGTTATGGCTGTGGCTATAGTTATCGTGATCAGGATCGTGATAGTGATCGTGATCGTTATCGTTTAAGTTTTCGATCGTGTATTTGCCAAAACAATGAAAAGTCCTTGTAAGCTTAATGCTTTTAACGCATACCCGTAGAAGTTATTAATTTAACCTTCACATTTAATTTAATTAAGTCATGCAGTAAGTTAATGTTCACGATTTCTTGTATCTTTTTGCAGGGAGACAGCGGTGGACCGTTCGTATGCAATGAAGGAGGGAGGTGGGTCCTTCGTGGAGCCGTAAGTTGGGGTCATAGGAACTGCAGAACTGATTTCTATACTGTGTTTGCTAGAGTAAGCACGTTTGTGAACTGGATATATCAGAAGACATACTAGAGAGGTGAACTATCATTTTAACTGGTCCTTTGCAAAACTTGGTCAAGTGCTTAGATACCACTCATCAAGGATGGGTAACCACCTACCCCTTCTTTAAGTCACAATCTTGCCCCAAGTAGGAAGTAAGCGTTAATGTTGACTTAAGGGAGGGGTATGTTGTCAGTTTACCATCCGTCACTGGATGGCAAGCCACCCAAGTGTTCATTTATATCACAAAGCTTTGAGTGTGATCCAGCAGAGCCTTTTTAGATTAACTCACACGTCCTTAAGTCCTCTAGTCCAGTCATTTCATTTAATTTTCAACATAATAATTAAACGAGGAATGTTTCGCTCGATCGCGCTCAAAGCTTTGTGAGCGGCCAATGAACGCTTGGAAAGCTTCTTATGCAGCAAGCCGTTGCTAAGCGGTATCCAAGCACGTGACCAAGTTCCTCCAAGAGCCTTAATTGTTACAATTTTTGACAGTTATTTAATAATTGAGTTGCTTTCCCTCTTCTAAAGCTAATGTAAATCCATGTTCTCATCTGCAGGTTCGGCCACAAATTAAATCAAACAGAAACCGTTTGGATGGCTGGGTCAAATTTCCCTTTCACTGATTCAAAAGTATTGGAATTGAAATAAAAGCATGTATGTTGCGTCTACTGTAGTTCGATGGAAATAAAATTTGAATCTTGGAAAATTTTGATTGTTTGCACCTTTTTGTTGTCGTGTTTTTGCTTTGTTTTCTCTTTGTTGTTGTTGTTTACTTTTTCCCCTCATCCACTGGGCAATTTGTGTCATCCTCTGGTTGAATTACCAAAAAAAAATACTGAAAGAATGGAACCACGCTCTTGTTTAACATATCAGTGGGATTTGTGTAATGTAACCATGTTTAATGCCGAAGCTTGAAAAATGGATCTAATATTATTGCCAGCAAAAAGCTTGAAAAATGAAATCGTATTTCATACGCCATCATTTTAACAAGCTCACTCATTAACAAAAAATACATTTCTCCCTCCTACCCCGAAACACATGCAGGCGTTATATGTCGAACATATCAAAAACGAAAAAAAAAAAAGAAATGTGAGCACAAGACTAATCGAGGGCCGCGTTCAATCTAATGGCTCCTTCCATTTGTCAGAAATGACCGGCCAGGCCATCCCGTTGTAACGAGAAATTCATTTTTAATCAAAACCATCCAGTCAGCAATCAATTCCTGAATAGCATACAAGAAGCAAATCATTTTTCTGGAAAAACTATTGGAAAAAGCTCATTTCATTGTCAAAATGACTTTTCCGCCATAGTACGGCCGGCCAGTTCTGACTTTTAAAAAGCGACGAAGTCTATCACTAGTATTAAAAAAAAAAAAAAAAGAAAGAAAGAAAGAGCACACAATGCAAGGTATGTCTTTAAACAACTACGTGTTCAAATACGGCGCAGATGAACTGGAAAACGTCAAATTCAACAACTATCTGGGACTACAATAATGAGCCCTTATGGAAACTTTCATCTCGCTAGGCAAGACTTGAAGAAAGTGCACTCAAAGCACTCCGATTATAAATTACTAAAAGAGATGGGAAACCATTTCAGAGAAAATATGATTAACGATGAAGTTATTTGATAAGGAAAAAGCTCATTTCATTGTCAAAATGACTTTTCCGCCATAGTACGGCCGGCCAGTTCTGACTTTTAAAAAGCGACGAAGTCTATCACTAGTATTAAAAAAAAAAAAAAAGAAAGAAAGAAAGAGCACACAATGCAAGGTATGTCTTTAAACAACTACGTGTTCAAATACGGCGCTGATGAATTGGAAAACCTCAAATTCTACAAATATCTTGGACTACAATAATGAGTCCTTATGGAAACTTTCATCTCGCTAGGCAAGAGTTGAAGAAAGTGCACTCAAAGCACTTAAATTACTAAAAGAGATGGGAAACCACTTCAGAGAAAATATGATTAACGATGAAGTTATTTGATGCACTGATATCTCCTATACTCTTTTATGCGAGTGAAATGAAAGGAATTGATTGCAATGGACAATTACAAAAGGATCCAGAAGAATTGGTTCAAAATAAATTTCTTAAGTGGTCGCCTGGAGGCAATAAATACTGCAATAACAATGTGAGCAGGGCTGAGACAGGAAGGTTTCCAATGAGAATTGAAGCCCAATGTAGGAACTTTAAGCTCTGGTTAACCTTAGCCAAAAATAAAAGCAAATTATCCCAAATAGCATGCAATGACATTAAGTGGAATGAAAATACAGCTCAAAAACTTATTGGAACAGATAAGGTTAGGAGAATTCTGGATGAAAGCACACTATGCGGACATAGGAATCGTAAACATGATCAGGCAACGACTTAAGGCTATCGAACTGCAAAGATGTCTAAGTGAAATAAATAACAACACTAGAAAAGATGCTATCCAAAGGAACAAAATGAGAACCTACCGGTTATTCAAAGCGATAGACAATTACAAATGTGAAGATTACTTACATCAGGTCACCAATACGCGACTTAGAATAGCTCTAACAAAACTGCGACTAACTTCAACAACAAATTAGCCATAGAGACAGAACGTTATTCGAGACCGTTTAAGAAACCTGAAGAAAAAATTTGCCCAATTTGTAAAATTGAAATGGAGGATCGGACGAATACCATTTTCTAATATATGCCCTGCTTACCAGGAAAAAAGAAGTTCGTCACTAGTTATTTGGAAAAAGAATAAAAAAATATAGAGTAAAAATAAGCAGAATGTCACCTAACAAAATATTCATGTTTCTAAAATACAAAAACTAATAGCAAAACATGTATTCGAATGCTTTGAACAAGGAAAAAAGGAAAGGAGAAGACGGCAAAAAGTAAATACTCTAGGACCCCCAGTGCAGACTCTTTAACTTCTTTGAAAATACAATTACTTGAATGAACCTTCCGCAATCATCGTTCTACTTAATTACTGGAGTCCCACAAAAGAGAAAACGTTAAAAGAAAATGGATGCTTATTTCGAAAGGAAGACAAAGGAAGCTGGTTAATATAATTACGTGATAAATGCAATTTGTGTTAAGAGGTTTTCAACTGGGATTCTAGCTTTTATCCTCTTCTACCTTATAAAAGAGATTCTGCATTTTAGTAACTAAAGAAACTGAAATAGTAAAAATAACTTTTTCTGGCCTTGCACGCTGACGCATTAAAACTCGCAGATTGATTATTTTGATGAAGAAGTGAATAATTTCTCGGTCACATTAGTGTCGCCATGATCATGTAAAAAAAAAAACGCCAAAGAACGTCGTTTTCTATAAGATTTATCACGCCAATTTCGAATGCATTTGTCGCTCATTTCCTTTTTTAGATCAATAATAGCGATTGATGAAAAGCAGTGAAAAATAAACATGTCGTTCTCGTTTCCTAACGTTTGGCACTTTTTGAGAAAACTTGTTTGTTCACATGTTGAGAAACGTCATAAATTTCACCTCGTTCGGAAGAACAAAGTGATCGTTTATTCCTAGTGCCACATTTAAATTCGATTAACGTAAAGGATCTCAGTTCCCATTCTAATTCGTTGTCGAATTGCCAAACTCGTTATGAAGATAAAATTTATCATTGTTATACTGTCTCTGTTGAGCTTAGCATTATCAAAGGAGGAAGGTAAGGCAATTATATTTCAATACTGAGGAAAAAGCCGTGTGCCGCTTTCTACGTATAGTTTTTTGCTTCTTATAGCAGTCCAGTCCGTAATGCAATCATTTAGTTAGGAAGCGAAAACTACCCCAGGTAAATTATCATCATGTTTTTGTTTTGGGGGATTCTCACTGAAACGTTCTTTCAAAAATGTGAAAATTATCTGATGTCAACTTATCTTGCACAATCTTGTCTTGATAACATAATTAGGGGTGAATCTGGTCTTTCTGTGTTTGGTTGATTTAAAGATTTAATTTTTATGCCATCAGTGAAGCTACTCGAGTTACTTTTCAATGTTCTTCCGAGTTGTAGTCTGAGTTACTGCATAGCTGTTCTTGCATTATTTAAAGTGGACGTTTCATACAGTTGTACACCGTTATCAGCCACGTTTCAAGTACAGTCGAACCTCCTTATGCGATTACCTCTTGTAAGCCACCACAATCTCCCATAACCGACCACCTGACCGTCAGAATACCAAAATTTTTTGGTCGATAACCTATAGTGAAAACCTGTCGTAAACGTGCGACCGCCTCTCATCAGCGACGGCGATGAAATTTTTGGCCTGATGGTTTTATTAGCTTCCATTGTTTTTCGCCTCTTGTAAGCGAGCACTTGACGCACGATGTGGTCTCTGTTCACTGGGTGTGCCACGCGCCACTCACAGTATAACAAGAACTTTCAATGACAATATGAAACCATATACGTACTTGTACGTAACTTAGAAATTTTAACTAACTTTAGCTAACTAAAGCGGCGAAACGACGATAAGTAACACAAGGCTTATAATCACACAGCTTGCAAATTCTCTACAAACATGGCGGCTCCGAGCTGGCTCAATTCATTTAACACCGTGACCCTGACTGGATAAAAGTTACATCGCCAACTGAGCAAGCCATCCAGCAAACTAGGCCAGTCAAGCTCAACTGTAATTACAGTCCCTCAACGAAGCTGAGTTGCCGTGTAAAACTGCATTTATTTATTTATTATTATTTTTTTTTGCTTTTTAGAAAATGGAGAAGAGTCAATGATATATAGGCGAAGCCCAGGTTGGTACACTGCTCGATGAGCAGCGGATGATTATTCATTTCAACTAATCAATTTAAAAGCTGTCCCTTTTGTTCACCTGTGAATTCGTGGCATACAATTTTTTTAGACATTGATTTCACGACTGTTAATATAGTTTGTCCTTTTTTTTAGAATGCAAGGATATATCACATAAATGTAAAACGGCTTACAGGCGCATGTGTCATCACACCTGAGTGAACTAGTTATGTCGATCTTCCTGTAGAAATTGTTAAATGAAAAACAAACCTTCGGTAAGTACCTTTTTTATCAAGTAAAGGTGTTCATCTCAACAGGAATGAAAGTAACCTTTTCTGTGGAATGTTTGACTTCAGTGTAAATTAAAGTACCAAGTTTTTCTCTTGCTTGGAAATTTAATGGCGGTTTCCCGTGAGTTGACTCAAGAAGTGTTGCAGTTTGGACTTTCAATTTGAATCGCTAATAACTTGTATCGCTGGTTAATTAAATAAATTGAAAAAAAAAAATTGCAGGAAAAAAATGCCCGTGTAGAGTAGCCTGTTAAAAGAAGGCTTGTTGGCTGAGAGAGCGAAAGACTTTCTAAACAAGAAGTCGTATCTGGTAACCATAGCAGGTAACTGTCATTGAGATGTGTTCCAGTGCCTTCTTACCAATAAATCGGAGTTACGGTGTGAAAAAAATATATATATAAATTAATGACGAGATCTAATGCTAGGAAGGGTTAAAAAACGGATGCATGTCTTAAACATACTCCTAGGTATATGGTGGCAAAATACGAACAGTTACTAGTGTTGATGATGGAGGAACTAGTTTGAAATCTTCCGCTCAAGAACAGTGAAGAACTGAGCTCATGTTCATGCTGTATGTGCATTCATTTATAAGCTTTTCTTATAGGATAAAATTATTTTGGAAATGCTAATAAACGTAAATCCATAAATTCTCTTGGTCTTATCGTTCGCGGTTTAACCTTTGGGTCATTATTGTATACCCGTATTTTAAGAAAATTGCCTGTCTTTATTTTGCAGAAGAAGACCAACTCTAATTCCTGGTTCACCGTGATGTTTAAAAGAAGAATAGAACCACGCTTCAACGTAAACCTGTGAAATACTGATTTACAAATTGATTGAATGTATGAATAAAGGAAGCTAAAGAAAAGTATTTGTAGATGTAGGAACTACTTTGTGGTGAACTTCATGACTGTCCTTCTGAGTGGATTACCCTAAAATCAACAAAGAAAACCGAAAACGTCCAAAAAAAACTAAAAATTTTCTGCTATATGGTAAACACAATATTTGTTGTTGTAAAAACAACACCGGAATTTGAGTAGACACTGAATCTGAGGACTTTCTCATTTGGGGGCGATCTGATCAAAATGATTTCAAATGGTACCATTAAAATAGATATTGTTAAATATGGAGAAACGAGTGAGTGTTTCCATTTTCTCAAGTCCCGTATGACGCACAGATGTGCAAACTCAGGAATAAAGCCTGCAAATCAGGGGTAAAGGTAGTGAATGTCATGGTCCATACTACTGAAGGCCATTTCCGTGTTCCAAAGCCCTAACTTTCAAAACAAGGCTTCCCTCCTTTTTTTTTTGTTTTTTTCTTCTTTAAATGAATGACGCCTCTTTTATTACGTAAATAAATGAAAAAAAAATTAATTGTAGACAGCAGAATTACGCTCAAAAAGGTCTTGACTATCTAACGGTGTAGCTTCTATCAGTTTCATACTGATATCTTGTGCACAAATAGGAAGCTCAATGTCTCAAGAATTATTCAGTTACAGTCGACTCCCGATAACTCGAACGTTCAAGGGAAATGGAAAAAAGGTTCGAGTTATCGGGAGTTCGAAGAAAATAGCCGCGAGTAAGGCAAAAAACTAACATTTAATTGCAGAAATGTCAAGAGAAAATTAAAAGATACTTCTAGATTATAAATCAGAACGCAACGTAACAGAACATATCGTACTGAAATAGAGCATGCGTTTTACTGTTTTGAAAAGAAAAGCTGCTTCCCGTTAGCCTGTGACAATTAACGTCAGCCTCCACTAGTAAACTATAGTCCTACAACACGTCAATGGGAAATCCAAATTCAATGTTTCAGACGCCCGTAGACGGCTTTTTTCCCGACTTTTTCAGGGCTCAAACCATGGTTTGAGTTATCGAGGGTAAAATTATTTAGAAAATGACCTGAGGGGAAACGAAAATTGGTTCGAGTTAGCGGGAGTTCGAGTTATCGAGGGTTCGAGTTACCGAAGTTAAAATTAAAGTGAATGTATGACGGAAATGCAGGAGAGTCGAAATCGATTTTGGTTCGAGTTAGCGCCAGGTTGGAGTTAGCGAGTGTTCGAGTTATCGGGAGTCAACTGTATTTTGTAATCCAAAGACTCAAACCAAATGCAAAAACTGCATGAAAGAAAGTTACACTTGGTCTGTTTATAACCCACTGTAACCTTTGCTTATCTTTTACACGGCTCCTCAGCCTAGTTCTCGATTCTTGAGCTTAGTATTGCGTGCTGCAAAATGTTCCAGTTTATCGTTTTTTTAATGTTTTCCAATTAAAAATAATAAAATGAACAGATCCAGACGGTTTTTAAATTAAGTTTTCAATATGTATTTTAACTTTTCAAAGTTGCTCCTTAGAAGTAAGTTGAAACACTCCTACCGACATTAAATTAGCAAATTAGAGTCATGTTCGCTCGTTTGAACTGCTACCACAGGAAAGAAAATGTTGAACCTATAGATAATAGCTAACAGTGTGTGTCTGAGTAAAGACTACCTCGATTAGGTATGAGCAGCTGCATCATCATTCAGAGGACGTCATTGTTAAATCCTACTACAGGTCGTAATTCCTTTTTGTTTATATTACTAGCTAGCTCAACGAAATATTGACACGACTGTGTTTTGCAGAGTTGATGTTCAGCTGTGCAGTTTAGTGACGGCTTTTAACGGTGTTTAAAAATATGATTTATATAATAAAAGGATATGTTGAAGCAATATCGTGCATTCAGGAAAAAATGATTATAAAAAGAAAATTTGAGAGACAAAAATAATAATAATAATCAATCAATCAATCACCCATCTAAGACGTTCTCACCTCAACCAATTTCATCAAGCCGTGAAGAATAGCTGTTCCACCTTCCTTCTATAGCTAGTATCTTCTACTTCTACGGGATTGAAAGACTGCCACGGAAAATTCTTACGTCTAGCAATATTTCTTTTGCTAAGCAGCAGACTTAATGGAGTTCCAAACGATTAGTATTTAAATACAGAATTAATGGGTTGGTACTTTTGTGATTGAGAAAGCCAAGAATGGTTATTTGAAGCAAAATTAGAAGAATTATTAATAGAAAGTGATATTCCTTTTGATAGCGCACCTACTTGGATGGTCAGCGGTGGTGAAAACAAGATGGCCGCGATTTTTCTTCGTGCGACACTCTAGGGAAATTTTCAACATTTTACTTATTATTTTTATTATTATTATTATTATTTTTTTTTTAAATAGTGGAAACTTTATTAAAAAACTATTAAAATCCTATTTACAATTAATTCGCTTAAAAAAAAAAGAAAAAACTATTCATTCAAAAACACTATTTACAATTTCTGTCGATTTAAAAAGCACTTACTTTAGCTTATTTTTCTGTTGTGTAAGTCTGTCTAATTACAATTGTGGAAGAACTACGAGCGACATTTGACGAAAAGCTTGCTCCTTTAAAAGTTGAGATTGCCGAGCTTAGATATTTTATTGAAAATGCAAACCAAATTACGGTCAAGTTCTGAAGAAACTCACTGAGCAAGAAAAGGAATGTAAAGAAATAAAAAATAATTGATGATAAGATTAAAGCTTGTTCTCTTTCTCAATTTAAATCAAAATCAAGACAAGATTATCTTTCGCTGCACTAATATTGGCAATTATCTTGTACTTCGCAACTTCCATCCTACTTTTTCACTCTTCTTACAGTACTACTTGCTAGTGTGTGTGTGTGTATGTGTGTGTGTTTATGTGTATACAGTCTGATATGCTGCCATATTGTGCCCCGCACCATGAACTTACCTAAATTATCTTACTGAATCTGGCTTCTTGGAATTTTTAACTTATTAGTTATTTCAGGAATTTATTACCCCTTTTAGCTAACTGATTAATTTAACAACTTGTAAATAACTATAATATTCTGCTTTGGGTACAATAAAAATTTTTCAAAATTAGTTCTTTTCTTTGTTGTTGTTGTTCTACTTGACGACGATATCGTATAGCCGAGTGCTTTACTTTTCACTATTGATACCAATTGATACCAATTCAATCTTTGATTTGTGATTTGTGCAAGATCATGTATTCAAGATCAATTTTAATAAATGAAGATTAATACTTAGTTATTATTATCATTAATAATAAAAATGATACGACTACTACTAATAATAATAAAACAACAATTGCCTTCATGCTTGTACCTTTCAGTAGCAATCAGTTTTTAGGAAGAACGTATATTTACTTTAATTGCAAGAAGAATTTCTTTGAGTGAATAAACACAGATCGAGTCGACATTTTCAGCTGAATAACCAGCACTACTGCCCCACAAAAACTTGAGTTAACCCTTTCCAAAACGTTATATTCAGCTGCAATTGATGATTGACGTAACAAACAAAAGAAAAAAGTCATTCAATTCGAAAGGGATTTTTAAAAAAGCGGAGGAAAGTTATTCAGAGTTTTTGTTAAAGATTTACTAAAATGAGATTAATCTAGTGCATTTGCAAACGGGCATAAAAATAAAGCCAAAACAATGATATGTTTTTATCACCTTTGCTGATAGCTAAAGATTCCCTTCTTCCATTATAGCTAGAAAAAATAGCAGAAAGGCTTTCTCGACATGAAAGAAAAGAAACGTTTGGCCATCCGATCATGAGTTAACGGAAGATCAAATTGATGTTTTCTCTTAGAACAAAAACGTTATTATTCACTACCGAGCACATGTCAAATGGTAAAAAGCTGTTTACAAGTGTTTTAAAATAAGCACTTGTATACATCCATTTAAGCGCTTGTTACTTTGAGAATTGAAGCAGCAGGTGATAAAACCCTGATAAAACATCAGATCCCATAAAAACAGGTCCGCGCAAGAGCTAGTCAATACTCTCTGGAGATAGCATCCTCAAAGATGAACCTCTGGATCGGAATTTCAGTCTTCCTGCTTGGAATTTCAAGCTCTCAAGGTAAGATGCAGCCAACTAATGCTTCCTATCGAAGGAATCTTGTCAAATTCTGTATGAATGTTTTCTGTTTTTCAGTAACCTTTTAACTTTTGTAACGAGGAAAAATGTATTTGAAATGACGAATTGTAGAGGTACCTACCTGATTCGATTTCTTTCGGTGTGGATGTCTGGGATCCTTTTGGATTCCCTCTCAAGAAAAATCTCATGAAATCTTGGTCTAAATGCAATCAAATGTTCCTTCAACAAATGTTAAAAATTCATAAAAAGCAGAGCACATTACAGGAGAGACTTTCCCTACGAGCCCCTTATGACAGATACTCCCTCCTTCTCGAAAAATGCCTTAGATTGGACTAAAATTAGTCAAGGACTTTTTGGTATCATCCCACACGTACCCCTTGATTTTTTTCAGTCCGAACCGTTCCGGTTACCTGAAGGTGATCGCCATTTACATCTTCGCTCTTGCTAATAACCGTGAGCACGCCATGCGACAATTGCTCTCATAAGCCTCTTCTTACCAAGCGGGGTCCAGGCCCCAGATGATAATTGAGAATCGCTATTAATAGCTTGCATGGTTCAAAAAATTTTCTTGGTGTTTTAGGAATTTGACTCCATGTAAAACTTGGCTCTCTTTTTCCCACTGAGGGGCAATTAGACCCCAACAATAAAAACAAAAGCTGCAACAGCAATAGCAACATAAACAAAAAAACAAGCAAACAAACAAACAAATACATCTATGCATCTTATACCACAGTTGATATTCCCCTCTCCTATCACGTGTCTCCCGCGTGAATTCTCGCCACTGCCCCCAATAAAGAACTGGTTGCGAAATGACACACCTATTGACATAAATTGGCAACCAACGTAAAAATCCTGAAAATGGCACAAATGTCCAATATCATAAACCTTTCTGCAAGCAAAGTTATAATTTGACTTAGTAATACTTAGTAATGTAGATTCCTCTTTCGCTGAATACTCAATACTCATTTAATATGTGCATCTGAATAAACAGCTTTTGCAGGCTTTCAGAAAATGCTAATTTAACGCTCACTTCTTTTTAGGACTCAATGCCAACTTGAGAAATCAAAACTAGCACAGTCAGACTAATCACCTAAAATTCTGACATTCTTTCAACTGCTATATCAAAATGACAACAACATCAACAACAATAGCAACGTTACAGCAGCGTCATGTTCAAGTTGAAATGGGTTAACGTTACTGCTGAATTAGTAATTTCAATCAGGTGCTTCAAAAATAAACTACTTCTTGATAGCAAACGATTGTCCTGTCTTATTATCACAGACACAAACTTTTGCTTCCAATGATCTGAGTCAATGGACGAATAAATCAATGTTGACATTGCAATTACAAAACAGCTGTACCCGAAAGGAAGTCTAATGAATTTAAAGCTCGTCTCTTTTCAGAACTCAAAGCCAAGTTGAGAAGGTAAAGCTAGCACAGTGTATGGCAGTCTATAATCTCCTAAAACTCTAACATTCTTCCACTGGCGATATCATCAAACAACATGGCAACTGCAACAAAAACAACAACGTTACAACAGCGTCATGTTCCACAAAATGGCTTTTCACGGATGTTAAATTGACAGAGTTTGATCAAATACATTTTTTAAAACAAAGCATAAAAGTTTCTCTGAAAATTGCGAAAACTCTGAGCCTCCAGGGATACCTAAAATGGGTCGCTGCTGTTAGCATTTTCAATCAGGCGTAAAAAGTTGTACTTGCTAGCTGAAACGATTGCCCTGTTTTACTGTCACAAAAACAAACGTTAATGTTTGCCATGCATGATCTGAGTGCGTGAATAAACGACAAAATTGATGTTTACAATGCCATTACAAAAAAGCTGTACCCGAAAGGAAGCCTATTGAATCGACGCTCATGATCCGCTAACATTTAAACAGGGGCACCCGACGAGAATATAGTTCAAAACCACTTATTTTAGTATTTAAACGATAGACATAGGCATATTTTTATCCCCTAAAATTTTTTCATCTGTTCGGATTTCCTAGCTGAAAGTCTTGTGATCCAAGTTATAGGGATCAAAACTTACCTTTACGAAAATTTCAGCCAGAAAAAAGGTTCCCGAAAATTCTAGGTGATCTTTTTAGCGTAAAATCTGTTAAAAATGGGCAATTATACCATTTTTTGATGGTTGGAAAATGCTAGGAGAGGCAGGCAAGCAAGAAATTTACAACAAATGTTCCGAAAATTCTAGATCTCAAATCGTCTTCCAAACAGATATTTTCCAAAAATTGTCGTTGGGTACCGCTGTTTAAAAGACCGCCTAAGAGTCCCATTCAAACGATTGTAAATACGAAACCTTTAGAGAAGATAACAATGAAACAGGTGAGACCGCTGATAAAACATTACTCTCTATAAAACAACTATGTACTTGAGATTTTAAGCACTTTCTGAAGATGAAGTTCTGGATCGGACTTTCAGTCTTCCTGCTTGGGATTTCAAGCACCCAAGGTAGGAAACAGACCCAACTACTGAGTGTACAAAATGTTATAAACGCGTATAAGTTTTCGATTATATGAATTTTTCTGTCACTTATCCCTGGTAAACATGCATTGGCTGACCCCTTTTTTCCCTCCCCGAATTTCCTTTTTTGCTGTTTGTAGCTGATGAAATCACACTCTTTTTCTTCAAATAGACAAGGAAGGCACACATCCACAATGCCCAATTTCGATCAGTTTATGTTTTTTTGACATTTTTATGCAGTTATTTATTTTATAATGCCACATTTTAAAAAAAGCGATTTCGTTTTTCTCGCCAAAACTTCTAAAGAGCGATTTTGCTTTATTTTAAACACATTTTAGGCTGCGGAAACAAGCCATATTCTGCGCGAGTGGTGAATGGAGAAAATGCCTCCCCACACGCCTGGCCTTGGCAGATTTCTCTAAGAGTGAATGGTCGCCATATTTGTGGAGGATCTCTAATCAAGAATGATTGGGTCGTCACAGCGGCTCATTGTGTAGATCGAAATCCTAGACCAAGTGGCTATACTGTCGTTGTAGGTGAGTATTTTTGTTTCTGTTTCTTTTCTTCTCTTTTTTTTAATTCCCGCTTCTTAAAATGAGTGATACTGGTCACAAACGTTTTTCAACCGAGTTTAAGGCATAACACACCTTGTGTTTATGAGCCAGACTTGTAAAAAAATAAACTTTCTTTACTCCCGTTCCTGCAGCTTGTTGTTATCATTATTATTTTTCTTTCTTTCTTTCTTTCTTTCTTTCCTTTTTTCTTTCTTTCTTTCTTTCTTTTTTTTTAATTATTATTTTTAACTATGCGAAGGCTAAGCTTTTTTTATTATTATTTTTGCGGGTAAAAGAAATCCCGGTTAACTTAACAACCTCACTTACGTTACAAAGAAACGATGAAAAAATATATTAATAACACCACTAATATGGGGATTGTAAATGCAATTTATGTAGGGGCCTATCAGCGAACTGGATCAACTGCTGTTCAGAAAACCTTTCGTCTAAAAAAGCTGTTCAAACACGAGCAGTTTAGCATGAGACATCTGAGAAATGATATCGCCCTACTGCAACTGGCAGGATCAGTTTCAGTTAGTTCTAAAGTAAACACTGTGTGTTTGCCGTCATCTGGAAGCAGGATACCTGCAGGAAGACAATGCTATATAACAGGTACTCCAGTTCGAAATTGGTTGTGACTAGAATACATTAAAATCAGGTACAGTACTAGTGATTAGGGTAAATCACTGTTTTAAAAACGGTTAGCGTTTAATAATATAACAATCAATGCCATGTAAAGTACGTTAAAATTAATCTGCATCGGCAGTCAGCCCATGATGGTTTAGAGGATACGGATGTGGATTATACATCAAATGTGCGGGTTCAAGTTCAACATACTACCTAACTTTTTCTTCCGTTTTGTTTCTTCTCTTATTTACCACATTAAGTTATGAGAGTCCTATCATGTATTTTGAGTGAAGATGACAGTCTGACTTTAGGAAATCCATTCTAGTCACAACCGTTCGAAATTTAACTTCACTTAAAGTAACTGAATTGCGAAGGTGCTGTCTTAGGGCCTGTTTACATGAAGGTGGGGGACCCCAGGTAGATGAGGTAATCCGAGGGAAGGTCACCCCTACTATCATATAAGCTTGATCAAATTAAAATGAGAGATTATATGGACCAGCGGGTTACCTCACCTATCAGAGGTTCCCCAGCTCCCTTCCCTCTCTTCCCATGTAAGGTTAACCAGACACCTGAATCCGAGAATTTTTGCTTTTAGAATCTGGAATCCGTTTTGTCATCTATTTCCATTCATTGCTTCGATTTTAATTGTCTTATTTGACTGTAATTCTAACAAACAACGTACAATGTTTCTTTTTTTTTTTTTTTTTTTGGCCCAGGACAATCATAGACTTTCTCAAAGCTTCTGCTTACTTACGTCACTCGTGTAAGTCGTGACTTCTTCGTTCGCTTTCTCTCTTCGCGAGCGTTCCTCGCGCCTTCAGCGCTTTCCCGAGGCCGACTAATGACAAGTCTAAAATATACCCAACCTTTTAACCTTTATAATAACGACTAAGTAACTGAATAACTGAATACGTAGAAAACAAACACAGCCACATCAAATGCATTTATGATAATTTTCTTCAGGGTGGGGACGCACCGTCGGTGGAGGTTCAGCTGCTGATGTTCTACAGCAGGCCATGTTGCCAGTTGCAGCTCATAGCGCCTGTAGTCGAGTCAACGGAAGGTTACTTCCTGTTGATGAGAAATCGATGGTGTGTGCTGGAGGGCAAGGCAAGGGTGGATGTCAGGTAGATTGACTATAGTATATTCCTGATTTTAACTCTTTATTTTGACCATACGTCTGAATAATGGAGGAGTGAACGCTCTCAATCGATAGGAGAATTTTTTTAATCATTTATGCCTCAATTTCCTCCTTAAAAGGGAGACAGCGGAGGTCCTTTTGTGTGCAATGAAGGTGGCAGATATGTGTTACGAGGTGCTGTTAGCTGGGGACATTCAATGTGCAGGACTGATCACTTTACCGTGTTCGCTCGTGTGAGCAGTTTCATAAACTGGATTAACCAGAAGATATCAGGTACCCGAACAATGTTATCTTAGTTTTTCGTTTCGCTAAAATGATTTGCCGAAAATTCTAAGCTATCTGAAGAAAAAAAAAAAAAAGAATGATGATATTTAACCCTTTTAGCCCTAAGAGTGATCAGCATCAAATTTTTCCTTATAATATCAATGCTTTGTAAAACAGAGTGGTCATGAGAATTACGAACCGGCATGATCACACATTACAAGAAAAATTTGCTTGATATTTTATTAACTTCTCTCCACTACTTCTATAGTAAATGAAGATAGGTGACAAATGAGAATTTTGATTTTTATCTTATGGTTTAAAGGGTTGACTAGAAACTAAGATTGGTTTTCCCCTTCACAGGTGGAGGAGGCGGAGGAAACGGTGGAAGTGAGTTGAAATGAAAATACTCCATAATTATAAAATGATGATATTATTACAGGAGAAAAATATTTGTTGTTGCTATATCCCTCTAATTTTTCCCCACATCCTTATATTCTCAACTCTTCTTCTTATATACATGTATCCTACTTCTACAATCCTTGTCATCATCCTTATTATAAGTATCATCATCATCATGTCCATCATCATTACAATTATCATCGTTATATCAACATAAGATCCTTTAACATTTATACATAAATCATACCTAATAAATTTACAGAATACTCAATAATTCATTTATAATTTATTACTAGTCATTGGACAATCAACTTTTTCTTTATGTTTTCTATTCATGATCACTTATAAAATTACTCTATTTTATCATATAGACACAAGTGTTTTACTGGAAAATATACCACTCGTAAAATTCATAAAAACTACATCCGATACCCAAGTGGTTTATTTTCCATAATTTCACACGTGAGTTTATCGATGACGTAATTTCGGTAATTTCCCTCTATTATTTATTTTATCGATGTCTTCTTGTCTATATAATAAAAAGAACATTACACGGCGGCTTGAAGAAATGAATTTTATTTCCTTGTGGCAAAAACAATATTTTGCGAACGAACGCAGCGAGTGAGTAAAATATTGTTTTTGCCACGAGAAAATGAAATTCGTATCTTCGCTCCACCGTGTAATATTCTCTTTGTATGCTTTTCTTTATTTATACAAGTATGTTTGATTAATAAAAAAAATCTAATTCAAAGAAGAAATCCCGCCTATAAGACTTCATGGCTTGTTGAGACTTTCTCGCTTTTTGTATTCTTTTTAGCTTCGTGTTAATTTCATGTAATTTTTTATTATTTCCTTTCATTTCTATGTAAAAAGGCATTAAAAATCAATAATCAATAATAATCAATTATCAATATCAGCATCAGTATCTGTATTATTATCACTATCAGTATTACCATCATCATCATCATTATCATTATCATTATCATTAATACTTGTTTATCATTTTCATAACATTTTTCCTCTGGTCCGTGGCACTTTTTTCGTGTATAGATTGTGTGGATAAAAATCCAAATTGCCGTCAGTGGACACGCTACTGCTCTTATCACCAATATGTGAGGGCGAATTGCAAGAAGACGTGCAAATTGTGTTAAAACGTGAGTTCCAACGAATTTTCAATATTGAGTTCCGAAGAATTATACTGTAAATAAGTGAATCATGATTTATAGGGAGCATGTTGGTAAATTAATTAAAAAACACTGAGTGTTGTACCGTTTTACAAGGAAGTTAGTACTTTTTTCATATCTTTTTTTTTTTCAAAGAACCTACTTCCTACCAGCGAGAAACGTCGACTGTTTACAGTTAGATTACAGCAAGGCTTTACCTCTTTTGTTTACAGAAAAAAACGAGACTTAAGGCTAGGGAATTTAGCTTATAGGTGTGGTCTGCATATTCAGTTAGCCTCAATTATATTTTCGAAGAAATATCATTATTTTGCTTTATTCATTTTCAGGTTATCCTGCCTGCAATCAAGTATAAAACCTTTACCATCACCACTACATTGTACAAGTAGCCAAGGAATAGCACAATAAAAGTATCATTTAAAAACGCGATCGTGTTTGGGTTTTGTCAGTGACTTTAAATGGTGTTTTCCTTTTATTCCCCTTCTTTCTTTATAACGAACAAAATGAATAAGCAAATTAAAACCTCCAGTCGAAATTAAATGCTGACCCTCCAGTGTAAGTTTAAAATATTTGTCATATCTGAGTGACGGCAGTTTCAGCTGCCGAATTTGCAGGGAATGAATGTTGAAAACAAACTAACGCCAAAAAAATCAGTAGAACATAGGAAACAATATATGCAGCAAGAAAAAAAACGTTTGATTTCGTAATTACCGGTGGTTGTTTTACTGAATTATCCTCTGTTTGAATTTTTAGAATATTTTCCCCTTCCCCTGGTTTTTCAATTCCAGTTCCGGATATTCTTCAGCAGTCAGAAATCAGTGAAGATCAGCTGCAATAGTGAGATTTGAATTACCTTGAAACGTTTTGACGGTTAATAATGCTCTGCAGTTTTGACGGTTGACGATAAAAAATAACCTTTTTTGACGGTTTAATGTTAAATTTTAAGTCGTTTGACGGCTGAAGGTTGAGACCCTCCGTATCGTGAGGCTGCTGTACATTACACTTCTGTCTTCCTGAAGAGGGTCTGGAATGGCATTCTCAGGATCCGGTAGTTGACCCGAAATTTAGTACGAGATTTAAAAAAAATGCAAAATTCATCGGCGGGATAAAGGATTTGACCTCTACTGCGGAGAGCAAGATTGGTCAAAACCTTGGTATGGGATGCAATATTGGGAGGAAACGGCATTCGGGATAGAAATGGCAGAAGTTCGGAATGCGCTGGATAAGGTCATGAGGTCATGAGGTCAACTGTTCAGTAGAGAAACATACACTGATGGATATACAGTGTGCACGTGGTGGCTGTTTGACTGCTTTAACAGGGTTTTCAAATGTAAGAAAACGTTTGTCCACTTCGGCGGGACTGTATAGATCAGGTCGCCGTATGGCAGGGCTCCCTCTTGAATTTTGTCTATCTTGTAACGATTTCTGGTAATTTCCAAATGGAAACATGACGAAATATATAACTAAAACGTTAACTGCGTCACACGTATTTCCCAGGCCACCCAACAAACGTTTTTCGATTTCAATAACCTCGGACAAAAATTCGACGTGCACCCGGTCCCTCACATGAGGACCAGGGTGGTTAAACCTCCCCACCATCTCAGTTTTTGTTTCTGCTGCGTCAGCAAGTCTCGAAAATAATAAAATAATGGAAAGTTTATTTGTGTTTTTAAATGTACAATTGTAAATCTCGCTACGTATAGGCAATTTACAAATGCTGCTTGAGATTGGATTATTAAAATGAAAAACAAAAAAACAAAAAAACAAAAACAAAAACAAAAACAAAACAAAA